ACTTATGACCACTGTCTCACCTGTTTCACTGTAATACTTTTATTTAACAGGTATATGTTGTGTGAAGACTTTTATTTTGATATCCGATGAGAATTCTTCTCCTTTTCTCTGGGTATTTATTTATTTATTTATTTATTTATTTGTCTATTAAAAATCAAAAGTTATTCTTCAATAAGTATGTCAGACTTTGCTGGATCACCTCCGCCCTATGTAGGCTACTAAAGTTTTTCTTTTTCTTTTTTAATAGTCAAATTTATTCAAATAATCGGGACAATCCTACTGGATAATAAGCTTGATAGCCTCACGTTACCCGTTACATTGGCTGTTTGGCTCTTCCTCGTCAACATCAACACCTGGCCTCCCTGCTGAAAAATCCAGCTAAAACCAACCTAAGCTGGTTGGCTGGTTTAAGATGGAAGTAGCTGGTTTTAGTTGGTCTCCCAGCCTGGCCGAGCTGATGAACATCATATATATATATATATATATATATATATATATATAATTATTGGAACCCAGATTTTTTTTTTTTTTTTGCCATTTAGTTATATAATATAACGCAATTATTAGTATTGTAACAAAACCTGGCATATAAACTGGGTTCTGGCATTTTGCACATGAATGGGTCATAGAATTACACAATGAGTTTAAAATTCATGATTTAATATTAATGGTATTTTAAATGATGTTATATATTTTAATTCTAGATGTTTATTTAAGTGCTGCGTGACTTTTAAGTGTTTTAATGCGCGTGCGCGTGAACATTCGAGTCGCATTCAAACACTGGAGCGAGCGCGCTGCGCGAGAGCAGATGGAAACGGGGAAGAAACGTCATCAACTGACAAACAGCAAATCTCGCGTCTCTCGCTGTTGTTTTCACTGCTTTCAGGTGAGTTTAGTCAACAAATTCACACAAATAATACATACAAACGTCCCTGACACCTTTATTACGTGTAATTGACACGCTTCTGTTGAACATTTACTTTATAGAAATGGTTTTGTGTCTTCAAAAAAGTCCGTTAGCATCTCAACCGTTTTCAGAAGAGTTAACGTTAGGCCCAATTTATGTTAAGTTAAGGCTAACTGGAGCTTTTGTTTATGAAAATTTGGGGTTTTAACCACATCTTTGTGTAGATAAGAATTTTTGATAGTTTTGTTTTGCTGGTAATTTGTCAATGGGTGATTGTTAGTATGCTAATTTATTTAATCTAATAGAATGCACATACTGTTAATCAGTGACGTCACTTACAAATAGTGATAAAAAAAAGTGATTTCAGGAGCATCAGAAAAAAACCCTCTACAACAAAGGGTGAATTATTGATTAATCATGATACTAATTTAATATGCATTTATTTCACAATACATTATCTCAAGAATTATATATATATAATATAAATTCTTTTTTTTTTTTCTGAATTTATATCCCCAATGCAATATCAGGGGGTAAAGATACCATTAGAGTTCTTAAACTTATCGCTATGCTCTTGTTATCAGATGAGACATAATCCCCAGCGTTTGGCCCTGTGATTCTTCAAGACAAGACCTTGATCCCATCTACACTCAGTACATGAAGAAGGTGAGTTTCACAATAGCTGCCACTATCACAAATCAAGAGACCGAACACAACAGGATTTCATCCATATGAACACACCCATATGTAGGCATGGGTACTGAAACCCGGTATTAAATGGGTCCTGGGGCCAAATTATGGAAGACCGCAGTATCGATAAGCTTGGACGTTATCAGTTCTGCTGACGGTACTGAAGAAATTACACGCACTATTTATTAAAGGAGTCATAATGTAGTATTAACTTTGATACCCACGCTCTATTATAGTCATTTCATGCCCTTCTAAAAAAGAAAAATTGGAAAAAAATCAACACAGAGCTCGTTTGACCCTTATTTCTGAATGCATTATTGTCTCGCGAGATCTGATTCGAGGTTTTGGCTGTCGTGGACGGTCATTTTAATAATGCAAATGAGGGGCGCGTTGATTGGTGGCAGGAAGGAGGGGGCTTGACACCGCAGGTAACTTCAGCATTCCAAAAAGAGATCATGGCGCAAGTTGTTAATGAACCCGACCTAGTCTCGCGTAGCCAGACCTTCAGACTGACGGCTGAAGGTCTGGAACTCATAGCAGCTTTCTTTGGCCAAGGCCCGCCTATAAGGCCGTTTGACCGACATGTCAAACAACCAATTACAGTTCGTTTCGTTCAGCGTCACGTGGAAATGTCCCCACAACAACAGACCGGCGTGCAACAAGTCAGTCAGCATAGAAAATCAAAGGAGGAGAAGAAAACCGAACACAATACTGAATCGGCCAGCTGCGATGTCAGCGTCTGTTGTTTCATGTTTGCCCGCAAACGCGGCTGATATCCCCTTCACAGTTAGGTATTTCACTTGATCTTCCATAATAGATCATAGCTGTCAACATTGAACATTGAATCTAAGGGAGATTTCCCGGAATCCATCCCCAAAATAAGGGAATTTTTTTACACGATTCTTACCCACCACAAACTTTTAAAATAAAGCACTAATCATTAAAAGTCTAAAGAGTTTATAACTACAAATGAGTGAGAGAGAAAGAGACAGTGTGTGTGTGTATTAGAGAAAGTGTGTCATTTTTTAAACATTTTTTATCAGAGAATGTTTAAATACTAATATCAGCTTACGAGGGAAACGGTACGTGGTGCTTCGGGGGCTGCTGGAGATGATTAGGGAGAGGTCTGTGCTCCTTTACCGATCAAAGCGCGCGCTGACACGGAGTATAATTTTTTATACTTGACGCGTCCGCACGAGCGCGGCAAAGATTACGCGTTGGGTGCGCAAGACCGGCAAGACCCCATTTCGCTTGGCTGTGTGCACAGCTTTTTTTGTAACAGCGCGCGCGGCGCCGCATCCGAGGATGAACGACTTCAAGCCGAATCTGCCCGAGCATGTACGTCTCACACAATCAGAGCGTAAAAATACGGGATATTTTACGGGAAAATAATACAACGGGAAGACAGCGGGAAAAGAGCTAAAATACGTGAGAAACCCGGAAAAAACGGGAGGGTTGACAGCTATGTAATAGATAGGAGGGGACACACAACTAGTAAAGTTGGATCTGCTGGGAATCCTTATAAATGCTGACAAAGGGTCGGCCAGGCTTGGAAAATAATACTCTTCCCAAATCCCGTCGGCAAACAGGCTAAAATATCTCTTTTTGTCTCCACTAAGTGCCTCAAACAAAACTCCTGGACATCTCTTAAAGAGTCTACGCCGTGAACCTCGCATACTTTTGAGAATCCTACGTTTAGCTGATCTTGATAAATGCTCATTGTCACTCATGTAAACACAACAGTTTTTCTTCCGCAATCACACGTCTGCGCTTTGTTTCCCGGCCGACCGAAAATAAACGCGACACTCGCACCCCCCGGAAATCCGATAAAATTCAACCAATCAGATGACGACTTCGACATTCCTGAAGTGTTTCCAGTTAAGTGTACCATATGCATCAGACGTTTAGCCAACGTTCCGTGGGCGTGACGTCTGAGGCTGAGACTAAACCCGACCTGGCCGCGACCTACGGGATTCAACCATATATGTTTGAGCCAGACTCTGAACCAGAGCTGGAAACGGAAGAGGAACAACAGTCAATTGAAGGACGTCTACATCAACATGTCTCTGAATGGTAAAGACAATTTTTTTGACTGAGACATACATTAACATCAGTAACGAGCTAAAACATTTTTTTGCTATTTTCTCCCACATGAGTTTAGCTTTAATTTAATGTAGATTACATTAACGGAGATGTAGTCTACTTTATTTTCAGCTTACAGTGGTTATAGAGATTAACGTTTGCTATAATGTGTTGTTTTTGCCTTTTTTGACGTTGTGGTTTTTTAGATATTTAATAATTTTCATCTGCAGACATGTAACGTTATGTTTTTCTTTATGTTTATTAATTCTTGACTGTTTTTTAAATTTATCTATCCTTATCACATACATTAACGGCATTAGTAGTTAGCTGCTGTTTGTTACACAAAATATAGTAATAAAAACACAGTCTTACCGTTTCAAATTCAGGCAAGTCCCTGATTGTTGGAATGGCACCTTTTTCCAAACGTAGCTTCGATGCCAACTTCGCCTGATATTGCCCCAAATTTGTAAAAGATTCTTTTGTGAAATGTTTAGCGCAGTCACCTAACGTTGAGCAAGTTGAGATGGTTGTTGGAACAGCGTCATTAAAAATAAATTTCTTCCACTTGTCACTTGTAGTTTGGTCAGTTTTGGGTAAAGAAAAAAACATTAAAATGTGGATTATGACAGTCAACCACAGAGCAACTCACGTGTGCACTACGTTTCTGCATCTTTCTTGACTGAATATGATGGGGAGAGGGGCAGGGCGGGCCTCCTCTGCGGTGTCCATATATGGTATATCCGGCCCCGTCTTGACGTCAAGTTGGGGGAGAAATTGAAATCTCGTATTTGAGTGCGCGTGCACGTTGGCTAGTTTAAGAACCCTGGGGTAAACAAACGCTTCACTTTTGAATATCGGCATCCCGGCAAATGTATAATCATTAGTCAATCATAACATACATTGATTCTCATGGAAAAGTGAAGATTGCACATTATGACTCCTTTAAATATATTGTCTCAATTTTCCTTCATGATTTATTTTCAGACATCATAAGAATAATGTTATACTTGGTATTTTAACATGACATGTTATAACAAGAATATCTATGGCAAGAGCTCTTTTCAGTCGCTGCTTTCTTTTCCTCGTGATCCTTTTCTTTTATTTTTTCCCCTTCGTAATCTGCTGTAAGAGTATGAAAAAGGACAACATATGCTGCACATTTGTGGTCTGTTCTCCCGAATTTAATTTACGATATATTCCTTGGAGCTTGGAGAGTATTCACTTAAACACAGTTTATGTCTTAAGTTTAAGCTTGTTGAATAATATGTCAAAAGAAATGCAATGGTCAGGATTATTAAAGGCGTTTTTCTATGACAGCAGACACATGAGATGATGGCTGAAGTGAGTCAGTGAAGGAGAAGATCAAGATCTGGAGGAGGACATGCAGTTTACACTTCAGGAGAAAGACACAGATGAGCTCCAGGGCAGATTCAGCAATCATAAAGGTGAGTTCAGTGTTTCCATGCTTAAGTGACACTGTTTAAAAGAAGCAGGTACATTATGTGTTATTTACAGTGATGATTTTACTTGTTTTATTATTATAAGGTAATATTAAAGGTTAAAAATGACCCACGGTAAAAGACCTGCACGATATTGAAAAAAACTGATATTGCAATATTTAATTTTTTCTGATATATATAGTGCAATATTTCAATAAAAACTATTTCACCAAATGATTAAATAGCTCTATTTGACAATTAGAAAATTAGAAATTTGAATAGTCTCTGATGCGAACTCACTAGATCTCGCAGCAATGTTATTACTTCAGTGGCGAATTCAAATGTTTTCTTCACTGGATATCTTAGCACAGTGTCGCTTGATCTCGCGCTGCACAGATGTTGCTGGTCCGAACTGATAAATGGTCCGTTAAGCACAATATGATGAGTAGCGCAGTTTCGTTCCGCTTTCATTACGTTTGCCATTTGATGTTGCGCAACGTTGTGGTGATCGCGCCAGTGCGGATTTTGTCTGCAGAAAAAATAGTCCTAGGAATCGTTCGGTTTGTATGTGTACCGAACCGGAAGCAGCTCGTACCGAAACGGTTCAATAATTACGAATACATGTACCGTTACATGGCTAATTTACATATATGCGAGTCCTGATCGGGAGGTAACGTCCGATTCCGATCGAGTCTGAAACCACGTGATCGGGCCCGATTTCCGATCGCGTGATCAGATCGGGACATCCCTAGTTTAAAGTTTTTCAATTTTACAAAATATGGTGTAAAAACGTCTTAGTGCTGCCCTCTTCAGGTTGAACAGTGGCTACTGCAGTTGAATTTTCCTATTGGATGTTGTGGTACCCTCTGACGTCAGAGGGTACCAGCTAACCATCCCCTTGCCTACAGAGAGATACGTCTCAGATGCATGCCCCCTCTCCACTAGGCTCTGCCCACTTTTCCAGCATTTTTGGGCATTTTGGGGGGGGGGGGGGTACCATTATCTCAATTAGGGGTAATGGCCTCTATTGTCTTTAGATGTAGTGGTCTTCCCTAAGGTTTTGTAAGGTCAGCCCCTTCCTGCCCACCGAATGCCTATAAGATACCATGTAAACTTACATTAGAGAGATTTTGGACGAACCACAGCATCAACAGCTGTAGTTCTCTAGAAAACATCACTTCTAGAGAACTACAGACCTGTCTCTCTCCTACCAGTCATTGCGAAAACACTTGAATGAGTTGCTTTTAACCAAGTATCATCCTTCCTGTCTCTGAACAACCAGCTGGATGTCAACCAATCTGGCTTCAAGAAAGGACATTCAACTGAGACTGCATTGCTGTCAGTCACGGAAGCCCTGCGGATCGCAAAAGCTGCTTCCAAATCATCAGTTCTCATTCTACTGGATCTGTCCGCTGCCTTCGACACTGTGAATCATCAGATCCTCTTGTCCGCCCTCTCATCACTGGGCATCACTGGAACCTCCCTCAACTGGTTTAAGTCCTATCTCACAGGTAGGTCCTTCAAGGTCGCATGGAGATGTGAGGTATCCAAAGCACATCAACTGACCACAGGGGTTCCTCAGGGTTCAGTTCTCGGACCGCTCCTCTTCTCCATTTACACCACATCACTGGGACCCATCATACAGGCACATGGTTTCTCTTACCATTGCTATGCTGATGACACCCAGCTCTACCTCTCACTTCAACCAGATGATCCCACAGTAGCTGTACGGATCTCAAGCTGTCTGGCGGACATCTCGGCATGGATGAAGGAACATCACCTGCAGCTCAACCTGGCAAAGACTGAGCTTCTCGTCCTCCCTGCCAATCCGTCTCTACAGCACGACTTCATCATCCAGCTAGATTCTTCCTCAATCACCCCATCAAGGTCGGTCAGAAATCTTGGAGTAATCTTTGATGATCAGCTGACCTTCACAGACCACATTACGAAGATAGCTCGATCATGCAGGTTTGCTATGCACAACATCAGGAAGATCAGGCCTTTCCTAACTGAGCATGCAACACAACTTCTCGTCCAGGTCATTTCTAGGCTTGATTACTGCAATGCTCTTCTGGCTGGACTTCCATCATGTGCAACTAAACCTCTACAAATGATCCAGAATGCTGCAGCTCGTCTTGTCTTCAACGAGCCCAAAAGGGCCCACGTCACTCCTCTGCTCATCTCTCTGCACTGGCTACCACTCGCTGCTCGCATCAAGTTCAAGGCTTTGACGCTTGCTTACAGATTGACCACAGGTTCAGCTCCCTCCTACTTCCACTCACTACTACAAGTCTACATCCCTCCCAGAAGCCTACGATCGGTCAATGAGCGACGGCTCGTGGTACCATCACAGCGGCCATGGTTAGCAGAAGAGAATTCTTTTAAAAGTATTTAAAATCGTACCGACCCCAAACTTTTGAACGGTAGTGTAAATGTAAATGTGTTCTCAATAAAGAATCCTGCTGAAAGATATCCCAAAATTCTCCTGGTTTTTCGCTTCTGAGTTCTAAACTTTAGAAGAATAAAGTTCACAACAGCTGCAATTTTATGTGCAGAGTGTCAGTGCAGTTCGGTTCCTGTTGAAGAAACATTTCTGTTGTGTAAATTCTGGTTTCATAACTGAGCATTTAGCTACAACATAGTTACTTACAGCTATATGACATTTTCTTAAATAGTTTATATTTTGCAAAATATTGTACACTGGACCAAATTCTTAATAAATAAAAGCATTTTTTTGTATATATAATATTTCTTCTTGCTTGACTATTTATATATACGTGACCTTTTAGTAATCCAAAAGTAACCAGATTACATTACTTTCATATTGTGGTAGTTGGATTATGTTACTGAATACTTTTTTTTTAAAAGTAATTTGTAACTAACAGAATACATTTTTTAAAGTAACTCTGCCAAGCCTGACTGCTACCTATTGGTGCCAAGTAATCAGTAAAACCAATATAATGGTCGACCTCTTCTTTTTAATTAGCTAAAATGGTCTTATTCTACATATTAATGTTTTTTTTGTTTTTTTTTTCAGGATCTAGGACATGGAGTCATGATACCCACAGAAAAATGGGTATCAAAGTATGCCCAAACATGTTGGATGAATATATTTAAATATATAATGTATGGATAATCTTATGTACTGGTAATGTGGTTTAAGAGGTACATTGTCCTAATGAATTCTCCTTCTTTTTGCAGGTCTAATCAGTCAGCCCAAGTGAAGCCACACAATGTAAAAGAATAAATGAATCAAATAATAAAAATGTAATATTAATGTTGTGTTAGATGTTTATTTCCAACTGGGTTGAGTAAAAAAGCAGGTCTTAATACTATAATTTTTATTTCAGGTGCAAGCTCTTCATTCTTTGCAAAACAAAACCTGAGCTGTAAGCTATTGAAAAGTTGGTGTGAAGTTTATATCAATTGTGTATAATAGTAGTTATAATTCAAATTAATTTATTAAAATCTATAATTAATGTCCTAATTATTAACAGCTAAAAGCATTAAACCTACAAATCTTAACCAATACAAAAATGTAATGGAAACCATTAAATATGTGCAAATCAAGACCAATACAAATTTGTAATGAAACCATCACAACCAATACAAAACTGTAATGGAAACCATTAAATATGTGCAAATCAAGACCAATAGAAATTTGTATTGAAACCATCAGAACCAATACAAAACTGTAATGGAAACCATTAAATATGTGCAATTCAAGACCAATACAAATTTGTAATGAAACCATCAGAACCAATACAAAACTGTAATGGAAACCATTAAAATACAGACCCAATACAAATTTGTAATGGAAACCCTTAAAACCAATAAATCCTAATGGAATATGGCCCAAAACACACTACGTAATGGACTCCACTTGGTAATGGTTAACGGCTGGTGGTTTGTAATGGTTTTGTAGTGGAAACCATTAGGAATTCTGTAATGGTTTCTATTGTTTTTTTCAGGATCTCGCATCCGAAACAAAATGAAAAGATAAATCTTGATATATGCTTACAATTTAGGTTGAACTGCCCGCATTCTCTCCACCAATTATGTAACGAATCACACAATAATAATATACATAAAATGTATTTAAGGGGGGGGCCGGAAGGCCAATTTAGCTCAAAAGGAATGATTCATCGATTTGCAATGAATCTTGACCGAATCACTATGGAACCGAGAAAATGACTAGTTTAGAGTTCATTTGAACGGGCCGTAATTATAACCTTGGCAACAGATATGAATATCCAATCTATAGTGAAGCACTATGTATTAGCAAGGTAACTTTAGATCGACAGTACAAGACATTAAATGTGCAAGCACAACACAAGGCAAATATCTTTTCAAATATATTGCCGACTTTATTAACTATTCTAAACACATAATAAAACTAAGGTCTAAACACAATCACACACACGCATTCATACAAGGCGCAGAGGAAGAGAGAGAGAGTGAGAGAGAGTTTTCAGAGATGCACTTTGTAAGACATGACCTGAACGAACCACCAAGCATTAATTTAAACCTTCGTTTCTTAGACAGGTTATTCAATTTACATTTGCACCAGTTCAGTTAACCTCTTAACCTTCTCCAGAGCGTCGGCGCACTGAAGCGTTTTTTTTTTTATTTAGTTCAAAAATACTATCAGATTTAATGTTATACCTTGACAAACTATACATCATTAAAAAGATATAAGACTCAAGATTCAGTATTTGACCACTATTGTATTCTGAGAAACTTATAGTGACAGTTATGTCTTAATTTGTGTCAGGAGTTATGAAATGAAAAAAATGAGTCGATACCTTTAATATGAATTATAAGCGTCAGCTGGTCCATTCATAAAAAACACTCCGTGCTGTCGTCATGACAGCGATTCACAAAACAACGTCCCTGAGGGCTTTTAGCTCAACAATGTGCAGATGTGGAGAAATATTGATATATTCTCATAGATTCACATCATATTTCTAAAGACAGGAATAATATTTATTGAATTTATACCCAAATGCGTCGATGTAATCATAATGATCGCTTCTTACTGAGATGTGCTGTGTTTTCCATTCATACCAATTGCATGGGGGCGCTATTATGTCCAATAAAAGTCCATATATAGATCATGAAGAAGACCCATAGTCATGTGACATTCCAGGACGTCACTGAGTGATACAGAAAGTACAGAGATCGCTGTAACATGCAGATAAAGATGTTTTGAAGACAATAAACATGATTGCAATGATATTTGAGTTACCTGTGTTCTTCAAGCCATGCCAGGTATTTCATAATAATAGATTATATTTATAATGTAATGCTAATCGATATAGATTTCATCATCGTTCAGAACACTAAATAATACATTTTCTGTCTGATTTTTTTTTTATCTGAAGCCAAGTTAGATCACAGAAGATTATTTAAAACACTAGACTTGCGTTATATAGTGAGTTTGGAGCGCAAACATGGTTTTAATCTCATAAATGGTCGTGTATTGATGGTGTGCTAAGCTAACATGCTAGCGAGCCCAGGCGCACCTGCCACGAGCAGTTATTGTTTTATGATTTTTTTCTAAATAGGAATGCTTACTGAAATGTTTCAGTGCATTTGATACCAGTTTCAAATATTTAGTGAGAACTTTGATAAAAGAAATTAGGGTTTGAAACCCTATGAATAGCTTGTGAATAGCCAGTCGTTAGTAGCTATAATGCAGACAAAAGAAATGCATATTTAGAGCCATAATAACCAGTCTGGAGAGGTGTAAATGTGTGCAGGGGAGACTGAGACTGAATGGGGCACCACAAAACAATAGAGACAATAGACTGAATAGATGACTCAGAAGATGACTAAACATCAGTTTGCTAATAGAGTCTAATCAAAATAAAGTAATTTGACATGATCTTGAAAAACATTTAACTAAATACAGAGCTTTATACTTATCATTTTCAGATTTTAAATATAAAATGGTCAGACATGTGGCTTTAGCTGCAGTGCATTTCTAGATTGCTCCAGGGCCAACTTCAATTTTATTTTCATGAAGATGTTTCATAAAAATAAATTTCTAATAACTTTACAAAACTTTGAAGCTATTTAAAATGTTTTTTTTTCATTATGACAATAATTAATTCTACATTTACAATAAACAACCAGGTGTCAGCTTTCAAATGAGATCATACTTGTGCTTTTAGTGCAAAGGGTTCATGAACTGTATCTGTTTCAGTTTGTGTATGTCATTTCTGGGGATTTTTCAAAAGTGGGCTTGAAGCTTAACAGGTTAAGAGTCTGAAGTAGCTGCTACTTGCTTGTCTTTGCGTTGCTTAGGGAGTTCCCTTTTTGCGGTGCTTCGTCAAAGGGGTTTCCCGACCGGGTCCGTGTGGCTGGTTGTCTTTGAAGTGCCTGGATGGAAGTTTCTGAACTGCCGGTCACGTGTGATTGGCAGGCGAATAAGAGTCTTTACAGTTCGAAGCTCGTTGCAGGAGAGACGTTTAAACGAACTTCGCAGCAACTTAACGTTGAACCGAGACTTTTATGAAAAAAGAAAATAAAGGAAGAAATGAAAGTAAGACGAGTTAGATGGCTTGAATGAGCTGTTTCAACCCCGATCTTGATGGGTTATTTGTCTGCTGGTCTAATTTGGTCTGGTCGATGTAGAAGCGTGCGAACACGCTCTTTGGTGTTTTCAGAGAGAAGCACGAACAGGAACACTCTCTTGCTGTTGCTAGAGAGAGGCGCAAACTTAATTCAACACGAGCCGAACTCAAAACCGAACGGCAACCCCGAACTGCTCTCTGAACCGAATTTCTTTTTCAACTTACTCTAACTCCTTTGTTCGGGTCTTTAACTTAAACGTTAGTCCAACCTCTTTTGGAGAATTCTGACCAATGAGACAATGGCATCATTTTAGGAGGTGGATCGTTCCTACTTATCGTTATCTGGGATCTGCTTGGGTTCCAGCACTTAGCAGAGAAACAAGAGATTTGTTTAAACAAATTTTAAACCCAGTTTAAACATTATAGATTATTATAATCATACAAAACATTTTACACAGATTTCAAACAAGCCACCTTTTGAATTAAGGGCATACGATTCTTTTGATTGGAAGCACGATACCCTTTCATCCATACACACAGTTATATCACAATTACATGATTTATATGTGATCTACGCATAATACAAACATGAATTGTAGGAACAACAAGAATTATGATGTTTGATTAAGTCCACGGAGCATTGTTCTGCGTGAGTTTTAATGGGTTTGATATGTAAAGTCTGTGTAAGTCTCTCACGTTCCATGGAAGCGGGGTCTGTCTTACATCGCTGTCCTGCTCAGCAGTGGTGATGCTGAGGGAGGTCAAAGGTGGTCAGGCCCCTTAATGGTCAGGCCTCGTCTCACCATTTCTGAGCAGCTTTGTCTTGCTTAAGGATGAAACAGTGACAACGTTCTTCCTGTTTAGGCTTATCTCTAATGCCTGCGGGGCCATAAAATACTTCTCTGGGGGGGTTTTCTAGACAATTTGGAGCCAGTCTTGTGACTTTGGAATGTGGTATTCAGATCCGAAATGCTGAATCACATTTGAATGAATCCCATGAGAGATTAGAAAGATTAATTCGTGTTTGGTTCATCCTTAAAGTCTCTACAAAGGTTAGTGACAAAAGTGCTCAAAAGTAAAGGTGAGATAAGGGATCTCCAGATCTGTCCATAAGACTCACTGGACACACAGTCTGAGAAGACCACCTCAGAAGCAGCGCACAGCTTGGATGGGAAACGAGACGAGAGAATGAACAGCCAGGAGACGATCAGCAATAACTCCTCGTCTAAGCATCCTGAGCACAATGGTGAACAAGGTAAGACAAGAAACACAACAGTACAGATCCACATGAGACAACACCCAAAACAATCTACTGACAAACAGGGGCAGACACAGCAGAGAATATAAAGGAAAATGAAACAAGCGACAGGTGAGGGAAATCAACTTGTAATCTGTGTGCAGCTGCACAGAATCTTGTCCTGTCAGAAAAATGACAGGACAAACACAGACAACAGGAAGAAGCCGATGATGCACCCTGAACCGTGACAGTACCCCTCCCCTCAGGGACGCCTCCTGGCGTCCCCAGAGGACTCACCATGCCGATGGAATTGGTCGATGAGAGCGCGATCCAGAATGTCACGAGCCGGAACCCAACATCTCTTCTCCGGACCATAACCCTCCCAGTCTACCAGATAATGATGACCTCTGCCCCTTCGTCTCACATCAAGGAGCCGCCGCACCGTATAAGCCGGTGAC